CCACCGGGCAGGTAATCGAGGGAAAAATTCTCAAGCCTAAACGAAGCCACGAACAAGTTCTTAAAGGAGAGGCAAAAGAAGAAGCACATCTTCAGTTGTCCAGCTGCACTGTGCAGGCGCGCCGTGGACATAAAACCACTACAAGACTCGATGATAGTAAAACATGCAGTGACCTTAGTTCTCCTGATAAGGGAAACCATGCCTTCGCCTTCGGTGGGGGAGAACACCAACAGTCAACTCCATCTTGTGATGATGAATCGACAATCTAATTTTGTTATCTGGAATGTTCGTGGAGCGAACAATAAAGACTTTAGGAGGAATTTTAGAGAGTTAGTTGACACTCACAAACCATGCTTGGTAGCTCTCCTAGAAACCAAGATGGAGACTCACGCCTCTCTTATTAATGATTTTTATTTTGCTAAGATAATTGAGGTTCCCGCGAAGGGTCAGTCTAGTGGTATGGCTATCCTGTGGAACCACAATATTCTAACTATACAGGACTTTATGAGAAGAGTACAAGAGATCCACCTTATGATAGAGGTTCTCCCTTATCGTAAACCTTGGCTATTCATTGATGTATACGCTAGTACAGAAAAACTAGTCAGAGATAACTTGTGGAAAAATCTTAAAGTCATTCATAATTCCTATAAGGACCCATGGCTCGTAGGAGGAGATTTTAATAATGTCCTTACGTCAAGTGAAAAATTAGGAGGAAGACCTATTAGCCTAGGCAGAACCTCAAAAGTTTGGGAATATATTAACAATTGTAACCTTATTGATTTAGGATTTAATGGATGCAAGTTCACCCGGTCTAATCATAGGAAAAGGAGGAAAGGTTTAATTATGGAAAGACTGGATAGGGTTTTGGCCAATGAAGAGTGGCTTTTGATTTTTCCTCGTGCATCTGTTACCCATCTACTTAGGACTTATTCAGACCATAACCCCTTATTAATCAATCTTAACTCCTCTAATAGTGCCACCTCGAAACCATTTAGGCTCAAAACTATTTGGTATACTCACCCGGATTTCATTAACGTTGTTGCTTCTAATTGGAAAGATAAGGACTGAGATTATGCTATTAATACCTTTGAGGAGAGAGTGATATATTGGAAGAACAATTCTTTTGGGGACCTTTTCCGTAGGAAAAAAACTGCTAGCTCGATTAAGTGGTATCTAGAATTCTAGCAACTATCCTACTAGTATGTTTCTTCAGAACCTAGAAAACTCCCTCACGTTGGAATATAATAATATTCTCAAACTAGAAGAAGATTACTGAAAGTTGAGGGCTAGAGTTTCTTGGTTAAATGATGGGGACGCAAATACAAAGTTTTTTCAAATAACAGCCACTAACAGGAAAAGGAGAAATACTATTACTTACGGTAAGAGTGACAATGGTGAATGGATAGATGATCACAAGGCTATCATGGATCATACATTGAATTACTTTAAGAAGATGTTTACCACTTCCCATAGTTTTACTAACTGGAACCATATTCTCACAAGTCCTAAAAGTTTTGATAATCTGGACCTCTCTGCCTTGGATATCCCTCTTACTAATAATGAAATTACTGCAACTCTTTTTTCTTTTAAACCCTTTAAGGCTCCCGGTCCAGAAGGGTTACACCCCTTTTCCTTGCAAAAATATTGGAATATAGTTGGTCCATCAGTTACGACTCTATGTCACCAAGTTTTTAATACCCAAGCTATTCCTTCCACTTTAAACAACACATATCTTTGTTTGATCCCTAAAATCCCCAACGCCAACAACTTGAAGAATAGTTTATGCAATACTGTCTATAAAATTATTACAAAAATCATTACCAATAGAATTAAGCCTTATCTTGAAAAAAAATAATTAGCCCTTTCCAGGCTAGCTTCATTAAGAATAGAAGGGCTAGTAATAATGCTATAATTATAATTATTCAGGAGATCATGTCCAGATTTAGAAAATGTAGGAGTATGACAGCCAACATGATCCTAAAGATAGATCTGGAAAAAAGCTTTTGATAGATTAGAGTGGTCCTTCATTTACAGAACCCTCCTATTTTTAAGTTTCCTGCTAATATTACTAGGTTAATTATGTCTTGTATTTCGACTAGTAACATCGCTATCCTTTTGAATGGTGCTAAAATAAATTATTTCTCCCCTACTCATTGGATAAGGAAAGGTGATCCAATGTCACCTTACATCTTTATCTTGTGCATGAAAATGTTGTCCAGATATATTAGCCATCATGTAGACATTAATAATTGGGACCCTATAAAAGTTAATCGTAGAGGCTCCTCCTTCTCCCATCTATTTTTCGTAGATGATCTCACTCTCATGGCCAGGGTTAACAATAAATCTAGTGAAACTATTCTAGAGTCTTAACCTTTTTTGTGAGCTTTCAGGTCACAAGATTAACTATGACAAGTCTAAGATAATTTTTCCAAAAATTATCATAAGGATACAATGAAGGAGATCTCCAAGTACTTTGGTATCAAGGTTAGTGACAATTTTGGAAAACACTTAGGATTCCTAATCCTTCAAGCCTCCCCTAAGGCTAATGACTTCTACTTTATTTTGGATAATATGTGTTCCAGGTTATCCAATTGGAAAACTCAATGTATGAATATAGTGGGCAGAGCTACTCTTACTATCTCAACTGTGGCTACTATTCCAAATCATGCCATGCAATTTACACTATTGCCTAGTAAAGTTTGAAGGAAATTGACAAACTCCAAAGAAATTTTGTTTGGGGTAACACTAACCAACAGAAGAAGCTTCACCTCCTGAATTGGTCTACTATTACCGGCTTGGGTATGAAGAAGGCCCAGTCTAAGAACTTGGACTTGCTAACTGGCCTATGTTGGAGACTCCTTAACTTTCCACATGCTTTATAGTCTTAATTGCTCATTAATAACTATGCTAGCGGAACCAACAAAGCCTATTTTTCCTTCATATGGCGTAGTATGTAAAAGGGATGGTACTACTGCAATATGGGGACTCTATGGTATTTGTAATGCTAGATGGATCCGAAATAGTTCAACTCTTAGGGACTATCGAAGGCCCCTTGAATAACATGGACCTAGATATGAAAGTAAAAGACCTATGCAATAGTGATAATAGCTGGGATCTATCCAAGATATCCTTCATTTTACCACCCAATATCATTGATAATATTAACTCTATTCCTCTAAACATATGTCCCAATGCTTTTGACACTCCGGTGTGGGATATCAATAATAGTGGTTGGATCTGGCGCCTGCACATCCCTAATAAAATTAAGTTTTTCTTATGGTTATTCTACCACGATAGAATTCTTTATCGCTGGTACTTGAATTATATAGGCATGAACATTAATGTTACTTGTCCGGTATATAGAGATTCTCAAGAAACTATTACCCATATATTCCTACACTGCTATGTTGCTAAGAATATTTGGAATAATTTGAGTGTTACAATAGATCACCAGGTAGCCGGCACTGATGATAAACATTGGCTTCTAGGAATTAGAGATCTAAATATTATGATCAGTAATAGTTATATATCGTGGAAGGATCTCTTTCCATTTATAATTTGGAGCATCTGGATGAATAGGAATGGAAATAACCTTAACAACACAAATAATACTTTGAGTTCCAAGACCATCATAAATCAGGTCGTGGAATATAAGCTTCTTACTGATAGAGAAAGCAACATAGCTAAAAAGATTCATATATGAATCCAATGGCATAAACCTCCTATCGGCTGGTATAAATTGAACACTGATGGCGTTTTTAAATGAGATAGACTAGTTTGTGGCATGGACGAGTGATAAGAAATATCAATGGTGATTGGGTTGTTGGCTTCTAACATTCTTCACAAGCAGTATCTCCACTCCACGCGGAAATCTTGGCACTCAGACAAGGCCTTCAACTAACTTTGGATAAGAATCTCACTCCTCTAGAAGTGAAAATTGACTCAACCGAGGTAATAAAATATCTGGATCAAGGATACCCTACATACAACACTTTACTTCATGATTGCAGGTGGCTAATATCCAGAATAGGGAAGCTGAAGGTCATGCATAACTTCAGAGAAGGAAATGAAGTAGCTCACTTGTTAGCTAGGGAAGCAGCCTACGAGACTAATATTAATAAACCTATTTATTTAGAAGTACCACCTCCTCTTGTTATGACCAGGATGCTGGCAGAAAAAAACGGCTATACCTCTATTAATCATGTAGTAGACGATGCTTGTAGGATGTTGGCCAAACTTGGCAACTGTAATGCCTTTAAGAGTATTAGTATTTTGTGTAACAATGTGGAAGCACCTTAGTATATTCTAATAAAAGTTCCAGATTCTCAAAAAAAAAACAAGTTCAGGCCTTTCGTACAATGTGGGAGCACAAGAAGGACAGTGGGAACACTTTTTTTTTGGCTGATGTTGCTTTTCAAGTGGAGCACAAGTTTTTTTTTTTGTGACAAAAAGAATTTGAGCTTTAAGCGTGATAAAATCAGAAAGAAAGAATAATTCTGGACATAATCCAACTAAATTCTAGAAGAGAAAGCTATCTGACTTCAAGAAAATTAAGGACAAGAGTAAGATGAACTGCTCCAACTCCTAAGTATTGGTCCCGTAGCTAAGTGAATGTGCCGCTCCAAAAAAAGGAGCGTTTAGTATTGCTAGTGTCATGTTGTATATGTTTTAAGAATTATATTTTTATGTGGTATCAATTTAGCTAGATTAGTTTGTGTATACCTCGATAATTGTATGAGGTATTTGCTATCGCTCACCAACATATATATAAATTTTAAAATTGTTTTATTGACTACATCTTATCATGTATAGACTAAACTAAAAGCCACATATTATATATATGACCAGTAACTAGATGGGTAGGAGATAGGGCACGGGATGCGGACGGGTTTAAACTATGATTTTCTGGGAGCAAGGGAGGCAGGAACGAGGTTGGCATTTTGGTTGCTAAGGACCTCCAGGATTTAGTGGTAGAGGTTAGGAGAGTGAGCGACAAGCTGATGAGTATTAAGCTAGTTATTGGTGGATTTACTTTGAACATAATCAGTGCGTACGCACCCCAGGCAGGCTTGGATGAGAAAGTCAAGAGGCGTTTCTCGGAGGATTTGGATGAGATGGTGCGCGATATACCGCACACTGAGAAGCTTTTTATTGGAGGATATTTCAACGGCCACATTAGAGCGACGCTTGGGGGTTATGATGATGTGCATGGCAGTTTCATTTTTGGAGATAGAAATGGAGGGGGAACTTCACTGCTGGATTTTGCCAGAGCGTTTGATTTGGTGATATCAAAGTCGAATTTTTCGAAAAAGGTGGAACACTTGGTCACATTCCGTAGCTCGGTGGCTGGGAACCAGATTGACTATCTTCTCTGCAGGAGGTCTGATAAAGGTCTTTGCACGGATTGCAATGTCGTCCTGAGTGAGAACCTCACAACCCTTCATAGGCTCTTGGTCATGGACCTTGAGATCACGAGGAAGAAGAGGAAGAGGGCGGTATATGGCCAACCTAGGATCCAGTGGGGAGCCTTGACTGAAGACAAAGCGCAGGAGTTGGAGGTAAGTTGTTGACTATGGGAGCTTGGAGGAGTAGTGGGGATGCGAGCCTGATGTGGACCACGATGGCGCAGTGCATTAAGGAAGCTGCTAGAGAGATTCTAGGGGTCTCGAAGGGTTACAATAGTGGTCGCAATGGATACTGGTGGTGGAATGCAGAGGTCCAAAGAAAGGTGAACACCAAGAAAGCAGCGTATATGAAGTTAGTGGAAAGCATTGATGAGGAGGAGAAGTTAGCAGTTATGGTGGCTAAACTGCAACATTTAGTGGTTTATATGAAGAACTTGAGGGTAAAAGCGGGGATAAGAGGTTATTTAGGCTAGCCAAGATGAGAGAGAGAAAGGCCCGTGACTTGGACCAAGTGAAGTGCATCAAGGACGAAGAAGGTAGAGTTTTGTTGGATGAGGCGCATATCCGTCGGAGATGACAGACTTACTTCCATAGTCTCTTGAACGAGGATGGGAACAGAGACATTGTTCTAGGTGATTTGGGATCCTCTGAGAGTCGTTGTGACTTTGGGTATTGCAGGTGGATTAGAGTTGAGGAGGTTGTGGGTGCTATGCGTAAGATGAGTAGGGGCAGAGCGACCGGGCTATAAATCTCGGTGGAGTTTTAGAAAAATGTGGGCAGGGCGGGATTGGAGTGGCTTACTAGGTTATTTAATGTCATTTTTAGGACGAAAAAGATGCCTGAAGATGATGGAGCACAATGGTTCCTTTGTACAAGAATAAGGGTGATATCTAAAATTGTAAGAACTATCAGGGTATTAAGCTGCTTAGTCATACTATGAAGGTGTGGGAGAAGGTGGTGGAGCTAAGGGTGAAGAGAAAGGTGTCTATTTCTGAGAACCAGTTTGAGTTTATGCCGGGGCATTTGACTACGGAAGCCATTCACCTTGTTAGGAGATTAATGGAACAATATAGGGAGAGGAAGAGGGACTTGCATATGATGTTCATCGATTTAGAAAAGGCTTAGGATAAAGTCCTGATGGAGGTTCTGTAGAGATGTTTAGACATGTATGAGGAGCGAAGACCTGTGTGAGGATAGTGAAACGGGTCTCACACCATTTTCCTTTCATGATGGGGTTGCATCAGGGGTCGGCACTCAGCCCCTTTTAATTTGCCCTGGCGATGGACGTACTGACTCGCCACATCCAATGGAAGATGTCGTGGTGCATGTTATTTGCAGACGACATTATTTTGATTGACGAGACGCGAAGTGGTGTTAACGCGAGCTTAGAGGTGTGGAGACAGACCCTGGAGTCTAAAAGTTTCAAGCTGAGCAGAACCAAGACAAAATACTTGGAGTGTAAGTTTAATGGTGCTACTCAGGGAGTGGAAGTGAAGGTGAGGCTGGATTCACAAGTCATCCCTAGGAGGGGAAGTTTTAAGTACCTTGGGTCTATTACACAGGGGAATGAGGAGATTGATGAAGATGTCACACATCGTATTGGGGCGGGATGGATGAAGTGGAAACTTGCTTCTGGTGTTTTGTGTGACAAGAAGGTACCACCAAAACTTAAAGGTATGTTTTATAAAGCGGTGGTCAGCCGGCTATGTTGTATGGGGCGGATTGTTGGCCAGTCAAGAGCTCTCACATCCAGAAGATGAAGGTAGCAGAGATGAGTATGTTAAGATAGATGTGCGGGTACACTAGATTAGATAGAATTAGGAATGAAGTTATTCGGGACAAGGTGGGTGTAGCCCCTATTGAGGACAAGATGCGGGAAACGAGGGCTGTACAGTCTAATGAGATGGTCGAGGGTGAAAGACAACCCTTCGACCTTGCTCACGAAGAATCGGAGAAAAATAACGATGCGCCAAAAAGAGGGGTGGATTTGGCCTAGGGTTATTCGGTACTGGCAATAAAAATCGAGGACAACCAGATCGACGGGACCCAGCGTAAAAGGGTAAGTGTAAACACTTAAGAACCATTCTACGTAAGTAGTGATGTCCTCTTCAAGTGTCGGAATCACCACCTCCTTGTTTTCCCAACTGTTGATACCCTATTTTTCCCATAATATTTTCAAACTATGCTTTGGCACCAATTAGTATTTTTCATACAACTTCTGTATTTTTAAAATATTTTAATTAACTTATCCCAGCATTTATTTATAAAAATAATCACTGATTGCATCACAAAATAGTTTTATAATAATTTTTGTGGCTTAATTTTATCATTTGCATTTGTATTAAGTTTCAATTATTGCACAAATAGTCACATTTGCATTTTTAGGATGCGATTGCAATTACTTTGCAATTATAGCCTATGCATGAATTATTAGATTATTTTTACCGGAAAATAGCCTTTTATATTTTTGAATATTAAGTAATTACTTTAAAACATTTCCATGCATGAAAATCATTTTTTGTAATTTATTCACCATTTTTTAAAATTGTTTTGGCAGTTAATACGTATTTAACAAATAGCCCCTTTTTCATTTGAAACCTAGCCTATTAACTAGCCCAATTTTAACCCAAAATATACCCAGCCCAAACCTAGCATCTACCCGACCCACTTCTTGCCAAATCCTGGCCGTTGATCATTTTGATCAACGGTCCAGATCCCCCCTTCCTAAAATAAACCAACCTATACCCCCCAAAACCCTAATCATTCTAACACCCTCCCCCGCCGTCACCTAATCCCCTCTTCTCTCAAATGTTCTCAAGTCTAAACCCTAATCCATCCTTGCCGGCACTCATCTATGGCCATTCATGGTGGTTTCTCACCACCCCAGGCCTCTAATGGCCTCTCCTATGTTGGTATCACCGTCTTCAGGGTCCTCAAGGGACCAAGGTTAGTCTGCTTACGCCTTTGGTCTTTGCTCGCCTGTTTCAGGCTGTTCCGGTTCGATTTGAGTAAGATCTTCCTATGTCTATGGATTTCTAAGCCTGCTTCTTCACCTCTGTGTTGTTCTTCTCGAAACCCTAATTTTTACCCTTTGAACTTCTCAGATCTGTATAAGATCTGAGATGGATCGAGCCTATTTATATGAGTTTTACAAGAACCTTCTGATTTTCGAATGATTTTCCATTTTTTCTAAACTAGGGTTTCCCGAAAATTTCTTTCTCCTAAACGTTTGATAATTTTGAGTGTTTAATCTTCTGTTTCTTATGTGTTTTAACCGATTTCGTAAGGTTTGCTCTAGCCCTAACTCATTTATGCTAAAAATCCTAAAATTTTTTCAACATATTTTGTTTGGTTTTTGAGTTACTTATGTACTGACTTTGTCCTATGCTTTAGTTCCTGTAATTGTTCTTTAGCCTAATTCGATGTCTTGTGATTTTTATCCTGATGTGCCTCTACAAAGGTTCTTGGTTCGACTTTTTTACTGATTCTATGTGTCTATATTCATTTTTTGCCTATTCATGGTAAACCTATTTTCACCCTTTAATCAGTGTTGATTTGAATTCCTGATTTATCAATCTGTTTCTTGACTATTCCTTTCTTGCCTTATTCGAAAATTGTCTGCGATACTTGCTGACTCTTTGCATGATTCTTTTATTAATTAAACCCTTGACTCTCTATTCTGAAGTTCTTTATTTTAATTTGAACTCCTTTCCTTAATAAGATCTCTGATTCTTACTTCTCTACTCGGTCTGATTGAACCTATTGCCTTAATTAGTTCCTGTCATTACCGTTGGTTGATTTTCCTTAATTAAAGGAGAAAACTATGTTGAATCTTCGTGTAATTGATTCTGAAATTTCTTAATTACTGATTTTTGATTGTTTTACCTTATTTGCTCTACTCTTGAGCTACTATATAAACTCTCTTTATTTTAACCTCTGCACACGAACACTAGTTCCTCCACACTCTCACACTCACGAAAGCTCTCTATTCTCTTCTGTTACTTGCAATTCTCACTAATCCAGCCGGCTGTAAGCCAAGGCTGGCTATTTGCACCATCTTTGCTCTATACTCTGTATTCTCTCCTTGACTGGTATGTCCTGATTCAATTCACATTCCAAAACTATGTGTTTTCTTTGTTGCTGCAGTTCAGTAGTTGTGATTTCCAGTTCTATTTGCTATTCTATTGTCATATGCTCAATGTGTAACCAGCATGCTTAGATTACACTGCCTAATTACTGTACCACTCAGCATGTTTAAGTTTGTTATGTTAAAAGCTATAACTAGTATACTATTTAGCATTCCCAATCCTGCTTTAGATGATTGCGTGAATCCTATTCGTTCACTAGTATGTCCAAGCTGCATTGTTTGTTTACCGTCTCACCCAGCATGTCTAAATTCTGCTTGTTCTATATGTGATTAGTATTTCTAAAACTTTGAATGCTTCATGAAGTGTTTGTCTAGTTTGTTCATCTAAGTCTTACCTACTCTACTTCACTAATGAGATCCTGTTAAGACATCTAGCCCTTCCAGAGGTACTCAAGTTGTGTGTATTGGTCATGTCTAAGACCTATGTGTTCTCAACATATCTTTGCTGTAATCTTTGTAACTAACTTATCAGTTCCACAACTTCTTGAGGAATCTATGTAATTGTTTGCTATCACTAAGGTGCATTCCATGTATACCCTACCCCTTTCTCCTTGTGTGAAGTTTGTTTGCCAAAGTGTTTTCTGAAACTGTTCTGGGACTGGTATTCTGGTTTCAAGATGTTCTTTTTCATGCTTTTCCAACTACTGTTTTACTCAAACCAGTACAGGTTTTCAGAAAACTCTTTTCAGTCCTAAGACCTTCCTTTATACTGTTTACCAAAACTCTTTCAAATCGTTATGCACTCTCACATTACTCTTAGATTACTAAGTCCTGCCCCTCTGGTATGTGTACTGCTTTGAGACCCTTGAGATATCTCTGAACTCGGGCATATCAGGGTTGGCACTTCCACACTGCACATAAATCAGTTCTTATTTGAGAAAGGTCTGGGTGTGAGCACTGCCCGGGATCCTTGAGGTCCTTAGGGAGCTCTGACACACCTAGACATGAAATTGGCTATGACACTTTGAGCACTTGAGACTACTGAAGGCTTGGAAACTACTTTGGGCCTACTTCAGGCTCCCTATAGTTTAATGTAAATTTGTATTTATGTAATTAATTCAATTCTTGGTCTGTAATAATTAATTATAAACAAACATTGGGGTGACTAGTGAAAGGGGAAGTAGTTGTATATTGTGGGTAAAGTTGGGTAGATAACATGCCTATAGGGTTTATTTTGATTTACATATGCTGTATTAGACAATCTGCCTATAGGATTTCTTGGTTGAAATGAATTCTACCTGCTCCATTTCATATAATTAGATATCATGCCTACAAGATCTAAAATCAGCTTTAATAATTAAAGATCATGCCTATAAGATTTAAAATCAGCTTTAATAGAAATCATGCATATAGGGATTTCGCTTTGGTCAAATAAATTCTGCTTGTTTCACCTTATGTTTAATTAGAAATCATGCCTATATGATCTAAATCAGCTTTAATTAGGTCTAAGATTAGTTTAACTCGCATTTGTAGGTCTGAATCAGTTTAATTAACTAATCTATTCGTTTCTTTAATAAGTTTTCAACGCTGCATTAATTAACATTACTAGAGAGCATGCCTATAGGATCCAAATTGCCCATTTAAAATTGTTTATTGTTCTACTGCATTCCTGGTCAATGATTAGATACCATGCCCATAGGACATCACTATTATACGCCTAGGCAAGCCTGTAGGGCGACTAAAATTCTGCAAACTATAAAACTACGCCTTGTTATTTGAGGCTGCTCATATTCAACAGGTTTAAAAAAAATCAGTAGGTAAATGGATTCAGTTCTTTTACACTTTGGTCTTAACTCAATATTGCATGTTCTCTGCTCACCTAGATATCCTGTTCTATAGTTCCTCATAGATATCTGAAAACTGTTATTTGAGACGTGCACTTACTTGTTCTGTTTGTCGAGGTAAAATGTGAGCCTTTAGTTGTTCCCTCTTTAATGCAGTCCTAATTGTTTTTGGTTGACGCCTAGATTTTTCTCCT